GTCGTTCAGAAACTCTCGGAGGTGAATGTTGTCGTAAATTCACAACTAAAATGTATGTAGAACCGTGCCTACGGAGATAAAATCGAACTTGTAATTTATATGGTAAGCTATAACTAATAAAATATTATTTTTTAATTTATTCCATTGAGTTATATTATATTGACGATTTATTCATGATGCATATTTATTTTCTTGCAATATAAAAAAAACATTATTTTTACTTTTTCATACTATAGAAGTGAGTAGCAGTGTTGACAATGGATGGAATAACGGAATCATAGACGGAAGTTTATCGACTAAATTGGAAATATATTGCAGCTATGTTATAGTTATAGCCCGAATGGGTCGGCTCGACTACACTCTCACAGAATACCAGCGTAAAATAGCAGTTTAATACAACTGTGATTCGTATTGTGAGTTGTAGAGATCCGGAGACCCTTTTTTACCGAATACGAGGCATTCCATCTTAGTCCTTAGGGGGTGACAACGCATCTTCTTTTTGATTTTTAATCGAGGATAAATGTAGACGTCTATAGGCCATAGCATCCACTACCATCAGGTGGACTGTGTGCTCGTTTGTCACGCTTATTCTATAAAAAAAATAGTAATCCAGACCATGCAGAGGCAGTGTAATGATACCCACTACCCCGTGAGTATCGTAAGAGGCTACAGAGGGTAACTGAAACAGGAGATAGGCAGCAACTGCTTCCCGATAATAGCTTAAAATATGAAAAAACTGCAGTTGGCAACCCACCCGTCAAGCGTAGCAATTAGGTAAAATCCCCCCCATTAGCCAAACTATGGGGGAAGCCTATGTTCAGCAGTGGACTTTTGTAGGCTGTTGTGGACGGACGTTCGAATGTTTGCATAGATATGTAGATGTAAAAAAAGTGTGACGGGATCGTACCAATTGGAACTCTACTCTCTAACAAGCGTGAGATTTTTGTGATAAATCATTACTTCACTGTAATTCAACTTGGTGATAAATAGTGATGAAGCCCTTGATTGTAAATCATAGCGTTAAAAAGTTATGAAAGTTTCTTTAAAGTATAAGTGTTATAAAAGAGTACACAATCCAGCTGATGGTATATGGATGCGGTGACCTATAGTTAATCATAAAAGTCCTAATAATTCTTAGATGGAATGCCTCGTTTTCAATAAAAAGAATCTCTGATTCTTACCATACGACACACAGGAGCATCAAGCTGTTATTTCACATGTCTGAGGGATAAAATATTTTGAAGCCATAACTAGATTATTACAAAAAACAGATAGTTATAAAGTATTCTAAGGTTTAAGCACGATTTTGTTTCGATATGGAAGTCCCGTGGAAAAGAAGCGGACAAAAATATAAACCATAGAATTCGACTGCAAAATTTCAAAATTTGCGAAGACGCGGTAGAGCTAATCTGCAGTTACATTATTGCTGTGATATTCTACGCTGGTAACTTGTAGACGGCCAACTGATTTATAAGTAGCACTCGTATCAAGGGACGATGAAAATATAATAATTTTACAGCTTTATCCTAGTAACCGGATCAGGATCAACAAGATAAAATTAAATATTTTTCAGGGTCATGACAGCTCATGATCAATGCGTATTGTTTTTTTAAACTCATATATTATACAAATAAAGAACAATTTGCCAATTTAGTTTCTTGTAGTGTTAAAGTCAACATATTTTTTATTTAAAAGGAGGGGGAAAATATTCCATACTGCGTATGAATTAAGCTTATTAATCCATCACAGGGCATTAGTCAGTCAGTAATCAGTGAACGTATTTTCAGCAGCGTGTAATCCGACAACTTCAATTAGGCCTGGTGACTCAGCCGGCATCTAACTGATGCCAAGGACTACGAATTTTAATATATAGATTGTCGGATAAAACTTATTCTACAATTTTACTTTTGCGTTTTATTTAAATTTTTAACTCATTACTTAACCTTATACCTGGTGTAGCCATGATATAGCTATAATATTATAGTAGTAGCACGAATGAGTCTTTCCTGGAAGAAAGGAAGTTCTACGTCTGCATAGAGGACGCCGAGTCCGCAACAAGATCCATCAGAGCCGACGTTCCACAGGGCAGCTGTTTGTCTCCAGTCCTGTACGCGGCTTATACTAATGACATCCCAACACTGGCAGGCAGGCTGCAAAAGTGGGAGGACGACGTTGAGCTGGCGCTATATGCAGACGATAGCGCCTATTTCACCTCGTCCAGAAGAGCCCATATAGCCACTGCCAGGATGCAGCGTCTGCTGGACCTGTTGCCACCATGGATGGACGAGTGGAGGATGGTCGTCAACGTTGGTAAGACGACCGCTCTGCTCACTCGCCGTCTCAGAAAATTACCACCTCCGCTGATTCTCAATGGCCAGAAGATCGCGTACGAGAAGGCCGTGACCTACCTTGGGTGACGGATCGACCGGACGCTGCGCATGACCGTGCACGTCGACTTCGTCGTCCGCAGAGCCCGATCTGCGCGGGCGACGCTCTTGCCGGTCCTGGCATCCAAGCTGCCAACAAAAACCAAGCTATTATCACCAACGTTGCTGCGGCCTGGTACGCGTTTCTGAGCGACCCTCTGAGGCGGCGACTACAGGCCCAGCAGAACCTGTCTGTGTGGAATGACGTCATAGCGGACGATCTTAAAGTCAAGACCATCACAGATTTCGTGGCCCCGCTGGCGCGCGGCATGTTCGACCGCGCCGACAACGGGCCACATTAACACCTCAACGGCTTCGCGCCGTTGCACACATGGCCCCCGGACGGGTGACCTCTTCCAAGATAACTCGTCTCTATAGCGATTAGAGAGTCGAGTAACAACCCTCAATGCCGCTGATAGGCCAATTTCGACTTTTACTGGACAACCTCCTTTTTACCCGTAGTTAACCGACTACGGAAAAAAATTCTGACTACGGATATCCATCCCTTGACAACCAAGCCTAATAAAGGCTCCTAGGACTGGCCCATAGTGGTGGGCCATGAGGAAAGTCCCGGCAATGGGGGTATACCCCGAGGCCCGAGACCTGCAGGACCCCTAGTCCATGCAGATGACAACACGAGTTCGCAGTTAACATTCGCGTTCGGGCATGTCTGTGCACGCGCAGACAAAATGAAACCATGCTGACGTTCAACAGGCAAATCTACCAGACCGACTGCGACAAAATGAAACCATGCTGACGTTCAACAGGCAAATCTACTAGACCGATTGCGACGGTCCAATACTATCAAATTTTGCACAGACCTATTGTAGCGAAGTCCTGCAGGCATGTCTGCAGACATGCTCGAGGGCAAGTCCCCCCTTTACAACTCACTAGACCAACGAGGCAATTAAAGTGTAAAGGAATATGTATATAGTTGTCGCATATTTTACAAATATCTACATTCATTTAGTCGTACATTCAATACAGCCTATCAAAAGCCCACTGCGGAACATAGAGGTCCCCACAGAGGGACTAATTAGAGCGGATATGCTGTAGCTGCCACACTTGACAGAAAGGTTGACAACCGCAGTATTTTGTTATTTTATTAGTTGTAAGTTATTACGGTATTATTAGTTTTAAGTGACAGTAGCCTAATAATAGGGCGTGGACCGTGAACTCCAAAGGACGTAGTTTCGAATCGCCATTCGAATAATGTCCTTAATTACTCCTAACACAAGAATTGAAAGCTTATCAGGATTGGTTATACAAAATATTTGTAATGTTTATAGCAGTTCTAGTACTTTTTTTATAAAAAAAATCTGTTTCATTTCACTCTGCCGCCTCTTACGCTACCCACGGCAAGATAATATAGAGAATGGATTCTCTTCAACGCCCCTTCAAGGTTCTCTTATTGACCTTCCAAGTAGCTTAAGTTAATTTTTCTTACCTTATTCATATGAAACGTGCATTCAAAGCCTCATTAATTTAATGATTCAACACGTCTCTTTTAACGAGGCTAATAAAGTAAGTCACAGTAAGTGACGTGATTGTGGCATTTAAAAAGCTATAATAAAGAAAGTGTGTGTGTGTGTGTAACTTATAGAAAAAATATTATAATCGCTCCTCAGTTATTAATGCAAGAGTTTTAACAGTATTCCTAACACTTTTTTTTAGAATGGAATAAAATGGAATATTTTTTTTTTAGAATGGAATTAGCCGAGTGATGGCTATCTATGAGTATTCATCGCTCCGTTTTGACCCGCGACTTAAGGAATAATTTACCATATTAAAATTGTACAGAAATACATTGTAACTAGGTCGCTAAATCAAAAAAGTTGCAATTACTTTCATTTTGAGTATTAACGGAAATGACGGCTGGTGAATTACCGATCCTGTTTTTTGATTCAAATATTGGTTTGAAGTAGATTTTGATACGTAGATACGAGGTGCGATTTTATGTAATAAGAGCTTGCGCATGAGAGTTATTATTGCAAACTACGAAACAAGTGTTTCATATTCATATAAGAATCAAGTTATATTTCCGTATAGGCATATAATTTTATATAAACAAATACTAATACAAACGCATACATTCCGTGGCACACGTGAAACGCACTTTCAACACGTGGGGTCTACGCAGACCCCACCGGTTTAAGCGCCGGTCACGCTGCTGAATCGCATCTTTGCAGCTTACTTTGTTTATAGAACCTTCAAAGAAGATATCTGTAGTTAAATATAATAATGTAAAATCACTTCATTGGAAGTCACAGGTCGTAAGTTTACGGGTTTTTGCTCAGTTGTTCTATGAGTAGAACCGTCCTCGTAGACGAATGACACTTGAAACTAGCAAGTACCTCTGTTCAGAATACCAGAATTTTATACTAAATCTGATGAATCACACGTTTCTGAAAAAGGGGTGACAAAATATAAAAAAAACAGATAGTTAGAATTAAATAGTCGGAATGAAAAAAAATATTTATTGACACCGATCGAGAAAATCAACACAATAAATTCGAACATTACATAAAAAGAGATAAAGTAACTTTTAGTTCTAGAATGTTAGTGTTTCTATCTCTATGGTATCAGTGGGTCCAGTGAATCTCTCTGAACTCGGGTAATTTGCCACTCTTCTGCTGATTTCTTCATTAGTGTGGAGCACCATAGTCTGAACGAGGTCTTCACTAAAAAATAGTTTGAAAAATACAGCGCAGTGTTACATATTCGAGCTTCCCCTTTTGCACATGTGAGATGAGTAATGATGTTTCTTGCTGGAGTTCTACTAGTCTTCCCCATAGGGGTCTTCAACCAGATGGTCTCTCCATCTTTTCCCAGAAGAAATTCTCTATCGTAATCGGAATCCCAATATGACGGAATCTGGGGTAGAAATGGATCTGCTTCATCGTCATCTTCAGCAAACAACTCATCGGCAACGTTGTCATCATTTAGCAAAGAGACATCGTCCTCTTCACTTTTTTCGGTAGACCACTTTTCGATTAGTTCTTGTCTCTCCTGCTGCTCCTGCTCAGACCTAATCCATTCCTCGTTCGAATATCGGACCATCTTCCTATAAGAATGCGAAAAATTTACTGCTTCCCAAAAAAAAATATTGAAAACAAATGTAGGGAATGGATTACATATTTGTTACAATGAAGTACACGTGAGGTCCGTATGGACCACGATTACGCACGATGGTCTCGAGCGGGGTGAGGAGGCGGTTGGCGGGTCACGGGAGGCGGAGGCTAGCTGCGTTGTACGCACAGCTCAAGCGTGGCAGTCAGCCGCGAGGCCGGAAGGAAGTCGGCAGCGAGCCTTTGGGCGCTGCGCCCGCGCCGCGCTGCGGTCGGGAGTTGATATACTTTTGTGTCGAAAGGATGGCCGCCTTGTGTTATCTTATATTGTACGTATCCGTGATAACGTGGCTTATTTCTTTAGTTTGTTTGCGCGAAGCCCGGGTCGATTATACGTTGAGAGCCTCCTTGTGTTATCTTATATTTGTATGTTTCCGTGATAACTAGGTCATAATAGATAATTATTGTTGTAACAGTTTGAGTATTGTTTTGTGACTGGCATACGGTTGCGCGCGGCAGGTGTTGACTCGAAGGCCTAAGGCGCGCCATTTTGAATTTACTATTGAATATGTGGGTCAAGACTCGAACGTCTCAATTTAGTTGTCGGGTTTGAACGTGTTTTATAAGGGAGCAGTCCAGGATAAATGAATGCCAATTATACATTATGGAGCAACGCAGTCGATAAAGCGGGAAATTTCATTTTGAATTACAATTATTCCTTTTTGAGCCGACTTAAAAAAGGATGTCTCTAATTCGCATTGTATTTTTGTGTAATACTCGTAATTTGTATAGTATTCAACGCGATATTTTCGCTATAGTTTTTAACAAGTTAGAGCCAATATACGTCCCACTCCTGGACGCAAGCCTTCTCTAACTTCTGAGAGGATTTTTATAGTAAGGAAAAGTCCACCGCGCTGCCCCAATGTATGTTGGTGAACTTCATATGTCTTCGAAATATTTTTTTCTTATTCCTCAGACATCCTCACGATGTTTTCATTCTCCGCCTATAAAGTTGTTGATCAGAATTTAATATTGCAATAAATAAATTCATTGATGCCAGCGGGGATTGAACCCGGGTCGCTCGCGTACTGTGAAACTTACAGCGAGCGCTAACCATCTGAGCTACCACGACTCCCACTTTTTAGTCATAAACACTTTTTTAACAAAATTATTTTATAGTCATAGTCATTGAAATTTTTTTTTTTTTGAAAACCAATATACATTGTGCAGCAGCGTAAGCGTAATCAAAACATTGAAATAAAATAACATTTTTCGTATTTACTTCAAAATGTTGATATTAACTAATAACCATATTATGAATTCAATATTACTCTTTAACAAGGTGAATTTAATCTTCTTTGTCATAAAATAAACCTCAAAAATGGTTACGTTTAAATTGCCGCTAAAAGAGTTGAAAATTTTGAATTTTTGATTAACTGACAAAAAAAAGATCCAACCCTAACAGTCGCGAACAAATAAGATTTTTTTATTTTAATATTTAATGACTTTCTAGTTGTTAAAAAGATATTTCGATATTGCTGAATTAACTTGCTGAACACTTAAAAGTTACTCAAAAATTACTTTTTATTAATTTAATTTTTTTCAACTTGATTCTTGTACTTCTACTCCAGATGAAATTTGTAAGCTAGTAGGTAGTCGTTTGGGTTAAGACCTTATAATTTTTATTCAGTAAGTCAAATTTTCCCGTTTTAAAGGATTATTTCTTAAAAAATGTAACAGACTAATTACTTTTTCAAACTTTAGTAGTAAAATGTCGGAAACTCGCTCGACTACCCGTATTGAGGTGAATTTTAAATGAGAAGAGTTAATTGAGCTCCTTTTTTATGCGTATAAATCGTGGTAGACACTGAGTTCTAAGCGACTTTAAATATTTTACACTAGCAGCCAGCCCCTGCTTGGCCTGAGTAGAATCTAATAACGTGGCGTAACTTATTTTATAACCGGCTACAAATCCTGATAAATCAACCCTTAAGATTGCAATTAACAATTTCATTGGTGCCGGTGGTTATCGAACGCGGTTTGCTCGCGTACTGTGAAATTTACAGCGAACGCATTCCATCTGAGCTACCACGGCTCTTACCACGTGCTCGGCGGTGAAGGAAAACATCGTGAGGAAACCTGCGTGTAAGATGAATAAGAAAAAAAATATTTCAAAGACATGTAAAGTTCGCAAACACACATTGGGGTAGCGCGGCGGACAATTTTTTGCCCTAAAACCCTCTCAGAAATGAGCGGAGGTCTGTGCCCAGCAGTGGGATGTATATAGGCTGTAAATTTACTTTACATTATAAATCCTAGGGTGGGTCTAAACATTCGTTTTTGAATTTTACTGTAAAGAAATCTTCAGTAGCAGTTCGGAGTCAGAAAGTTGGCGGTGTCGTGTCTCCATAGTGCATTCCGATAAAGCCGTTTTTCCTGCATCTCATCTATCTCCGGTCGTGTCGGATTAGCGTTCCATCGGACTATGAGAGTGTACTAATAGAGAGCGCAGCTGTGGTTGCGCATACACACTAACACTATAATCCTGTTCTGCGCACATAGCTATTCTCCTTTCAGACTGGATGTCGTAACATAAATTCGGTCTAAAGGATATTATCAGTCGTATTACACCTTTGACGCTGTTCCACGTCCTATATCTGAGTATTTCATGTCTGACGTGAAGGAAATGATTCATTCGCTTAAAACTATGATATTTTTGCAGAACTTTTCAAAGTCACCTTTTTCGAAACCCACGAGATATAAAGGGGTGTTAGATTCAATAAAGTTGCATAAGGCAGAGTAAAAAAGTAATGAGTTGTACTTTAAGAAAAAGTATAAAACGACAACAATTTCGGAACAATTTTCTTCCATCTGAAGGCCCCGGCACCTTCAAGAATATAAAATAATATTAAGGTGGATGCGTCGACCGTCCGCCCATACATTTTTTAACCAAAATATACGCTAAACACAGACACTCTTTCTTTAAAACTAACCAATTTATCACTTTTCTACAATGAAATGTGTACGCGTCTGACCATTATAGGCATTAACTTACATTACATACTGAGAAAAACAATAGTGAAATCCCGAAAAAATTTGACACTTCTTTAGTAGTGTGCGTGACTTTTGACAAGCAAACGAAAGGTGACGTTTAAACATTGGCACGCTAGATGGCATCCAAATGATCTTAAATAATTCTGATAAATCAATATCTTAAATTCAATAATTGGTTAATTTCCTTTCCAACCATTAAAAAACAGTATAAAATAACATAAAACTAATGACCGACACCTATGTTTTTTTGTAAACATTTTATTACTTATTATCGTTGTGTGGCAACATAAATACCAAAAGTCGTAGATAAAGCGACGTTGCCGTCCTTCCTGACGACAAACTGATAAGAGTACTAACCGTAGACAGAGAAGTCTACGGTACTAACGTATTCCTGACCTTGAATTGACGAAACAAAAGCGTTGCCAAATTTACGTACGTTTACTTGTTTGACTTGTTATAAAATATAATATTCTGATTTCGGTTGTCACGCGCTATGATTTGCGCGCGGAATTTCTTGTGTATTATATATATTTTGTATGTATGTTTTCATTGATTCGAATTGCAATATTTCTCTAGTATATATTTGAGACTATATTGTAATTTATCGTAGGTATAGTAATTAATTATTCTAAAAACGCAATTACGTTTTCGGTAGTATTTTTAATAGCAGGCTGGCCCGTGATTTATCTGAAATATCGTCAAATACTGATTACCTACGTCATACGTGTCAGTGATTCATATACGAATGTGTTTGAATATGTTTTTGATCAACAATAAATACAATTATTATAAATCGGTAAACTACCAAAGTAGTCACAAAATTAAACTTGCAAATATTTGCTAAATATGGTTTTGCCGGGTTACATTAAACACCCTTTACGCACTTTGCAAACAGTTTCAGACAGACACACATTATTAGTTTGTTATATTTTCTAGAGCTCAAGTTCACTCGTCACTACGCCACGCCTTATGGTGCGTTCAGAAACAAATATAATTCAGTTACATAAAATCCTTTTTTCTGTTCCGTGCTTTATTGTTTAAAAATAAATTGCTTATTCTAATCTGAGTTATATTTTTCTTATTCGTCGGCCAATTCTACCAGTAATATAAAGATAACATTGAAATAAAAAGATAAGTAAATTTTTGTACATTTTAGTTTTCTAGATCTTGTGTTCCGAACGCAACCCTATTCATATAGAATTGAAGGAAGATTTGTATATATTATATTGTATAGTACCTGGATGACCGAGCATTTCTCGGTATTATTTTTTTTGGAAATCGTGTGTTTTGGAAGTTATATTTCGATTAAAAATACATACTGATAAAATATGAAGAATATTTTTGATCTTACCGACATAATAGAAAAAAACTGAACTGGTTATTAAAATTAAAAATCATGAGTGCAATAAAATGTTTGTATTTTTAAAAAAATACTACAAAAAGGGTTCGAAATAATAGAGTTTCTCACTAGAAAAAAGGGGGAAAAAGTCAATCCTAAGACGGGACGCGAACCAGGGAACTACGATTTCGCGACAGTGCGTTATCCACTTGAGCTATTACGATCATTATTATAGTGTTAAAATTTACCTTCGTATATTGTAGCAGTTTTTCATTGCCCGAAAAACGGGGACAAAACGACATTTTATGAAAATCATTGGAGCCGTTTCCGAGAGTCCGATTATACACACACACACACACACACACACACACATATATATATATACAAGAATTGCTCGTAGGTATAGGATTTATATTTTTGTTTTACTAAAAGCTTTTGTTGAGTGCTTCGAAATTAGGAAATATTATTTTCAAACTTCCCGGTTATGAAAATTCTGAAAGAAATTCAAGGCGAGCTAAATAATCAAAAGCAGGAAATAAAAAACATGCAAGAAAATATAACCAAAGCTATAAACGACAACATCAACCAAAAATTTACAATTATGGAAAATAGAACAAGCAATCTTGAAATAAAAATAAATAAACAACAAAAAACAATAGATTATTTGGAAAGACAGGCTAGAAAGAAAAATTTAATATTCTATGGAGTAGAAGAGACCGAGCATGGATACGAAGAATTGCAAAGTATATTATTAAGTAGCATAAAAAATCACATGAAGATTTCCATCGAGCAGTCTGAAATAGAACTTGTGAGAAGACTTGGCAAAAAAAGAGAGCAAGACTAGACCTTTATTGGTAACATTTACAACAATGGGAAGGAAAATCGAAATTTTAAAGAACAAAGGAACACTAAAGGGCTCACTCATTAACATTAAAGAAGACTTTCCACAAAAAGTTTTGTTGAAGCGTAAGAAACTACAAGCAGAAGTAGAAAAAGAACGTAAACTCGGAAAAAATGTTGTACTACGATATGACAAAATAGTGACACTGCCAGGTAGTCCCAAAAATAGGAATTCCATAGCAGACACACGGAAACAAAAACGGAATCTGTCAAAATCTCCTGATTTTGAAACCAACGTAATCAGCGAAAGCAATGTCAAACAGGTACCGAAGAAAAACAAGTTAAACAATATTACCTCCTACATGTACAACACGCAACCGAAAAAAGGATTGGAGTCAAGTTCGACTGAGATACACTCATTACCAAAAAACGTGTAAAAGAAGCCCCTCCACATCTCCCAATACGGCTGGTCACCGCGGGGGATAATGACTACAACCCTCCATTTACACTACGAAATCTCTACATCTGTACCTATAATGCAAAATCTCTACTATCAGATGAAAGATTACTCGATTTTAAGAGAGCGATTTCAAAAATAAAATACGACATTATTGGCCTCGCTGAAATAAGAAGAACGGGATATAATATCATAGAAAAAAACGAACATATTTTCTGCTATTTCGGGGAAACGAAAGGTCAATATGGAGTCGGATTTCTTATAAAAAAGGAATATAAGCTAAACATCGAGAGCTTCATTGGAGTATCTGAACGCATCTGCATTTTAAATCTCAATTTCGACAACACAAAACTCACCATTGTACAAGTACACGCGCCAACTGTTGATGCAAGCACCCAAGAAATTAATAACTTCTACAACCAACTACAGACTGCACACTGTCAATATAATAACCAGAAAATAATATTAGGCGACTTTAATGCCCGTGTTGGACAGCGAGTACCAGGCGAAGAAAGAATACTGGGCAAATACTGTTACGGAAAAAGAGACAAAAGGGGTGAAATTTTACTCCAATTTTGTTGGGAAAATAAACTATACATTACAAATAGTTTATTTAAAAAGAACAATAAAACTATGTGGACATGGCTCTCGCCAAAGTTAAGAAGAAGTCAAATCGATTATATACTAACGAATAGAAAGGAAAACATCTCAAACTTAGAAATCATATCAAACCTAACGCTTCCCAGCGACCATCGACTCTTGAGGAAGTACACTACAGATTGCATCGATAAAGAAAAGTAGAGCAAATTTCAAAAATTATACAACCAAACTCAATACTTTAGAAGAACAAGAACAATTCGTGCAAACCTTAAGTACACACATAAACAAAATTGAATTAGAAGAAAATGAAAATATGGAGTCCTTATACGCCAAAATTAAAAAACCAATAATCACCAGTTTAAATTTAATTCGACAGAAACCAACAGCAAAATGTGAGGCCATCCCTGTGCACATAAAATGTCTTATTGCAAGAAGAAGTGAACTGGTTCAGAAGAAGTCCTTAACAAAAGAAGAAAAAGACGAACGTACATACCTATACAAAAACATCTACAAATTAATGAAACGGGAACGTACAGAACGCAGAATAAAAAAGTTCAAACGCACCTCGAATCAACAGGTAGCTTAAAGAAAGGTCTTAAAAATCTTAATACCACCAAACGATGGATATCCTATATAAAAGATGATACAAATGATAAAAAAATATTGTCAAGATCTGATATCATAGAAAAGGTAACAACATTCTATAAAAATTTATACTCAGTAAAAGGTACTACTCCGGAAGTCGAAACATCCTACCGGAACTCTACAACTCTAGCTAGATTCTCTACACTTGAAGTAATAAAGAAAACTGAAAGTCTAAAGTCGGACAAAAGCAACGGGCCGGATGGAATCCCAAATGAAGCACTAAAAATTGGGGAAAATTATACTAGCACCATACATAACCACACTATTTAACATGATTCTAAACGATAGAGCAATACCGAAAGAATGGGCACAATCGGACATAAATTTTACTCTACAAGAAAGGAGACCCTGCCGTTATTGGAAACTACCGACCAATAAGCTTACAATCAAGTATGTACAAACTATTTGCTTCCTGTCTTGAGGATCGCCTAGCAAAGTTCACAGAGAAATTTCAACCGCCGAAACAAGCAGGTTTCAGGAAAAACTTCTCAACAATAGATCACATCCACACTTTAAATTTGATTATAGAGAAATATATAGAGCACAATAGACCACTCTACCTGGCATTTATCGACTACGCAAAAGCCTTTGACTCTATATCACATACGAGCATGTGGAAAGCTCTAAATGAGTGCGAAGTACCATCGGAGACTATAGATCTTTTAAAAGACATCTACTACAAAAGCAAAAGTCGTGTAAAGTTAGAGAGACATGGCCCTGAAATAAACATTTGTAGAGGCGTCAGACAGGGTGACCCCCTGTCACCTAGAATTTTTATAACTGTGCTACAAAATATAATGAAAACTCTGAACTGGGAAAAGACAGGAATAAATATAAATAGCAAACTCCTCAGTAATCTTCGATTTGCGGATGACATCATACTCTTTTCCGAAACAGCATCTCAATTACAGAAAATGATTAATGAACTAAATGATGTAAGCATCACGATTGGCTTAGAACTAAATACCACCAAGACTAAAGTCATGACGAACCACCATATTATACCAATAAGGGTCAATAACAATATATTAGAATACGTTCAAAGCTATGTTTACCTGGGACAACAAGTATCTTTCTCTAAGACAAGACACGAAGATGAGGTTAAAAGACGAGTTAACATAACCTGGAATAAATTCTGGAGCAATAAAGAAACCCTAAAATCAAAACTCCCTATAAAACTGAAGAAAAAAATAATGGATGCATGTTTACTACCCTGCCTTACGTATGGCTGCCAAACATGGATATACAATAATAAGACTAAAAACAAAATACAAGTATGTCAGAGAGCAATGGAAAGGAGTATACTAAATATACAAAGAAAACACAGAAAAAGAAACACAGACGTAAGAAATACAACAAAAATAATAGATGCTTTGGAACATTCCCAAAAACAAAAATGAAAATGGGCGGGTCATATTGCACGTATGGACAAAGAAAAATGGACACAGAGAGTAACTAACTGGCAAGGACCACCAAACAAAAGGAACAGAGGTAGACCGAGTGAGAAATGGGTTGACGAGATAATAAGAAAAGCCGGTGAAAATTGGATCACGAAGGCAAAGGACAGACAGACGTGGAAAAAAATGGAGGAGGCCTTCACCCGTTGAGGGGTCCGTAATGAATTATGTTATGAATTTTGTATGTAAACTGATCTGAAAATTTATATTATTTAATATTTTGAAATTTATATAAAATTTAAAAATTATTCGATTGTAAATTAATAATTCTGATAATTATGAATTGTATTATTTTGTTATATGCATGCATAATTATGTAAATCGTAATCTTAACATACTATTGATTCTTTTTAAGTATTCATTATGGAAACAAAGAGGCTATATTATTATATATAAATTAGGAAATATTATTTTCAAACTTCCCGGTTATTATAACAAAAGAAATTCTGTTATAGATTTGTTGTCATCTCTTGTTTATGAATTATAGTTCCTTACGTGTTGGTTATGAAATGTCTAATTGTTGTAATAATTGGTACTGTTACAAATCATCGGTTTTATTAGTTTTGAGTGAATAGGGATGACATCAGTATAATTATGTTGCTTCAAATAGGTAAGTACTTCTCTTTTGATAAAAAAATTCTATAGTGTAATGTAATAAAATAAAACTGCGTTATATTGTAATCAATGTTATGTCAACATTGATTACAATATTTATTTCCCAAAGTTATAAATGTATTAAATAGTTTACGCCAATAAATATAAATTTTATTTTTATAACAATCGTACATAGCGTTTTGTAGTTCTGCCTACCCAATCTGCACATACACAAAAATTTTAAACTTGATTTTTTACATACTCGCCATCTAGTGTTCTAGCTTCGTAAACGTAGGGATACGTCTGTGTGCGTAAACGACACTATATTCAATGACAGATGTTATAATCAAAATTAATGTCGAATTGGGTGGATTTTGAGGCAATGATGACCCATTCCAATAAAATGTATTATCCGATAACCGCTAAGTCTACTCCTACGACTTAATAATTTTCCAATTACACAAAAATCCAAATAAAATAAAATGTTGACTTCAGCGCCATCTTGCGGGAGAATGGCTCGGAACAGTCCGTAGGTTTCACCTTAAGTCTGGCAGATTAGGTATTATTTGAAACTCTACGAATATATAATAAAAAGTAAAACAATTCTTTCTATATATTTTTAAAATAGTCGTTGTTGCAGCCAGTTTCAGAAGAATTTATTAAGGAATTTATGAACAGATTCTAAGTGGATAACCAATTTAATTTGTTATTTCACTTTAGAGGCATTCACGTTTAGAAAGAAACTAAAATAACTTTGCAATTTTCAACAAGGTATTTAAAGCATGACTCCACTTCGTTACTTATTAATTAATAGGGACATATTTTACTAAATTATATATATATATATATTGAAATTGTATACTAAAATATGAATTTTTTTATTATTAAAGAAGTGAAACTTTTAAAAGTATGTACTATTTTTTCAATTTACTACGCTTTCTTTTCCAATATTCATACATTCGATCTCAGCTCTGTACAATACTTATGTTCCTTAGGTGATCGGCGAGTTAGTCAAAAATCTAGCTAAAATAGCCGTAAGAATCGGACTAGAAGTGTCGATCTGTCAACCTTATGTTTTCGTAGCGGCGTCAATGGGTTTTGGCTACACAGACTTTTATGTAAGAAAAATTATGATAAATTGTCCAGCCACAGTTCTTAGAACGAAATTTTCCGAAAAGATCTTGTTTCTATGAATGTTCTCCCAGTTATAGAGCCTTATGAAATATTTGTATATGATGACAGGATCACCGACGCTTTGACTTTGATCTCTTGAGGGTGAGTTAAATCACTAACATTAAGGGTGCCTCGTTTCGTCATCAGAAGCGGCTGAACTGAGTAAGTCTCTAAGACATGAGTACATATTTGAGTAACTTGTTGTGGAGGCTATCGGTTTGTGAGTTTCACGGGCTGTGAAATTCCTAAAGGAACTGTATCCGCAACTTTCTGCTGCTGGTGATAAGAGGGCTGTATCTTTTCTCGGTCAATAGCTAAGTATAGCTTTTCAGTGATGAAACGCAGCCAGCGTCCTTGGGAGTAAGACAGCATACCACGGGGAGTAAGACTATGTTAATTGACAAGAATGCTGTGAAATCCTTGTGGAAAATAAAACATAGGTTTCCACTAATTCGGGACTATTGCTAGTACTGTTATAATTTATAGTTATTTACGAATAACGATAAGAGTA